TTCCCCCTTTCTCCCCCACCTTCCCTTCCCCTCTTGGTATCGCCACTCTCAATCGGTCCTTCCAAACCAATTCTTTTTGCTACAGTGAGTCTGTCTGTTCCTTCAATCTTTGGAAGCTTCTTGCATCAGTCAATGTTTTGCCCATGGAATCTTTCAACATTGCAATTCCAGGATTGAGCCCCCACCCCCTCCAGTTCTTTCGGCTTAAGATATGCTGAGCACATCTTTATTTTTCAGCTTTCCAATTCCAAGTCTGTACATTTCAATATCATCATCTACGTGGTCCTCTTGAGCTGCCCTTTGACCTTTCCTGTTATTTTCCTTTGCCTTAGCCACCCTCCTGGTTAAGAGCAAGTCCCATAGTTTCCTCCGACAGCCCCTGTGATCTTTTCTTTCCTGTCTTTAATGACCTGTGGCTTTCTGCATGTAGGGTGTGCCCCATGTCCTCCCACAACTCATCCATCCCGAGTGTGCAAAGGGAAAGCTTTGCACCCTCGCAATCATTACGGTCCACTCAGCTTAGAGGAGGCAGCTTCTCCCCCATACCTTGAATGCCTTTCAACCCCAGGGCCTCCTCTTCAGGGCCAGGAGGCTTCTAGTGGCAAACATTCAGAGTGGGCAGCCTGAAAATCTCAGCTGCTGTTGACTCAGCTAAGCGCTGGCTTCCTATGCTAATTAACCCCTGGCCTTTTCAGCCTGTGTGTGATGGTGGGGAAGCCCTTGTCCTTTCAACGTTTGCTCTGCCTGTGGGAGGAGGGAGCCACCAGCATGGAATGCACCGTGGAAAATGGTAGAATCTTTCTGTAACATTTTTTATGACCCCCGGCGGCTGCCTATGCCTATGTGACCCCTCATGCATTGCCAGAATGACGGCCCACCTGCATGTAACCTGACCAGGAGCGGCATGGTTGTGGTTGGCTGTGATCTGAAAGGTCAGCAGGTGGAAACCAGGGAGAAAGATGAGGCATTCTACTCCCGTAGAGTGACAGTCTTGGGAAGCCACAGGGGCAGTTCTACTCTGTCCTATAGGGTCACTAGGAGTCTTCCAGGAGAGTTTGTAAATAAATTCAGTTCATCTGTCTCTCTGTTTGAATTGAGGGGATTATTAATCCGGCTCCATCGCTCCTGGGCCAGGACCTGACATTTGGTAGGAGCAACAGCGTCTTCCTCCTAGCCCGTCTGATTCAGGACCACAAGCCCACCCAACCCACTGCCAGAGCCCATTCCTATAGGACGAAGTAGACCTGCCCTTGTGGGGTTCCGAGATGGTAACCCTTGACCTCCTTGGGAAGTAGAAAGCTTCCCCTTTCTTCTGAGGAGCAACTGGTGGTTTTGAAGTAGCAGCCCAACATACAATGGCTTAAGCCTCTGGGTCTCGATTTGGGGACAGGTTTCATGATGCTGGGCTTTGAAATCCCGGTGGCTGGCTTCCGGCGTCACAGCAATAAGCTACTACAACACCAACAGGCTGCCAGGAAAGTGCGGCACTGTAGCTTGGTAAGCAGCTTGTTAGTGATGGTTTGGCCTTTGGCAACGGGTTCTTTTGGGGAACTCTCAAGTGCAGGAGCTTTGAGAAGCAGGCTGTTGTAGGATATAGGCGTGGCCATACTGTCTGGGTAGCTGTCTCTGTAACCTTCGTTGGTGCTCTCTTGAGATGCTAACATGGCAATGAGGACCTTCTCTGGGAGGTGTTCGGCCTGGGCGGTGCTGTCAATTTGAATTGTATCTATTTACCATACATGTATTGTGGTTCTCTAAGCATCTAGGTCCTTAATAGCCCCTAAAATGTATTATTAGGAGAGATGAGTCTCTGGAGGGGCAGTGAAAAAGAGGAAGGCCCTCCATGAGATGGATGGACACAGTGGCCGCAACCATGGGCTCAGACTTAAGAACATTGTGAGGAGGGTGCAGGACCGGGCCGTGTTTCGCTCTGCTGTGCACGGGGTCCCGGTGTGTGGGACTCCTGACCTATGTTCTGGTGGATGCAATCCTATGGGGTGGGGGGGGGGTTTGCTGTTATGAAGCGGCTCGGTGTCAGGGAGTCCTCAGCCTAATTCCTTCTACGTTACAAGGAGCAGCACAGACCCAGGGAGAGGCAGGCACAGGGGCCACAGGAGGACCACCAAGGACCTGAGGGGTGTCCGGGCTACCGAAGCTGACCCAAGAATCTCCCCCCCCAACCCCCACCCCTGAGCTGACTGAGCCGTCCACTGCTTTGAATGCAAACGTCTAGTCTAGACACACTAAAAGGACAAACCGATTTGACTTGGAAGAAGTCAGGCCAGAGTGCTCCTCAAAGGCAAGAATTCGTCTTACATACTTTGGACATGTTAGCAGAGGGACCTGTCCCTGGAGAAGGACCTTCCGCTTGGTAAAGTGGAGGGACAGTGAGAAGAGGCTGACCAGATGGACTGGCACAGGGGCTGCTTCCACCAGCTCAGGCAGAGGAACATTGTGAGGACGGCGGGCACGCAGTGTGTCGTTCTGTTATGCACGGGGACGCGATGGGTCGGGGCCGACTCGAAGTCACCTGACAACAAGAAGCCATGCTGGCACTTCGAGGTGCCCCCTCTGACCAGCGAGTCAGGTTCCGTGCTCAGCGTGCTGCGCCACGCACGGGCAGCAGGCAGGCCTCACCCTCAGGAACAAGGCCTCCCAGGCCACAATTGTGCCTGCGTGGTATGAACAACAGTGAAGTGCTCAGCTGCTCACAAAAGGTGTGCAATCCGAACCCACCCAAAAGCACCCAGGAAGAAAGGCCTGGCATTCCGACATTGGAAAGCTTTGGGAACTCAGTTCTACTCTGAAACACAGGGGCCCATCAAGCCATCCGAATTCCTGATGGTTTGGGTGTGGTCATTGTCTTAGGTTCCGGCTTGCTTCCTAGTCCAGGCTCCAACTCTGTCTCTCTTTTCGGCACTGACCCCAGCCTCGTTTCCAAGCCTACTTCCTCCGAGAAGTCCTCCTCCCTGCTCCTTACCCGACTCACAATGTGGGAAACAGAACGGGAAGAGAGTGCACATGGATGAATTCTTTCTTGTCATCTATGAAGAAACCTGGCAGGCTGGGTTTCTGGGGTGGAGGGAGGCTTTCACCCTTGAGTTGGAGACAGTCTCAATCACATTTTCAGATTAATCATGTTCCCCACTATATCCTCCCCAAATGGTGCTCCCTTAAAGTTACCTCTTACAAGCACACGGCCAATTGCTATGTAGCCCGCAGCTTTAATTAAAGGAGCAGACTCCTGCTATTGCTCTCTGGGCTCTGAAGACAGCCCTCCCTCTCACCGGCCCCTGGTGTTAGATTACTCCTCCAATGAATTCAGGGGCCTTTTAGGGTTAGCCCACTTTGTTACATATGTGGTTACCTGTAATTAGGAAGGCTTGCACACCCTTAGAGTATATAAGCCTCTGTTGGAACTATATTCTCTCTGTGCGGTCCTGGTTCCTGGAGGCATGGTGGCCAAGGTGAGCCCTTGCATGCTTTGTCTTGTCTGAGGTCTCTTTAATTTACCTGTCAATTACACAACTGCCCATTGGACCCATTTGGTTGTGGGGCTGGTACCCCACCTCACAAGGTGCTGGGCCCAGAGACCTTGCACATTTCCCTTGCTTTGACTGGATGCCCTTTACCCCATCATGGCCAGGCTGTCCTCAGACCTCATTAGAGTGGCCCTGCGCCTGCCTGCTCTCCCGGGAAGCCCTAAGCCACCCTCTGCCCTGCCCCGTGCACTCCAACCCACTCTGCTCCAGCCCCTGGGCCTTGGCATGTTCCAGCATCTCCCACCATTACCTGACCAGCTTTGTACCTTTCCATGGGCAGCTTGCCTCTGCAGAGAGGTCTGGACCTCAATTCTACCCAGGCTGGCCCTCCACCCACCTCCCTTCCATGCTCTGCTCCCACTTGCTCCTTGGTTTGGCTCCCCGCAGCCAGGCCCCTGGGCTGGGTTCTGAGCAGCTCCCAGGCAGAGCGCACGTTCAGTTCATGTGCCTGGGACTTGACTGCCTGACACTGAGGAGCCATCAGCTAAGAATAGGGCAGGGATTTGAACCCAGGCCCCTCCAGCCTCCCTTTAGCTGCATCAGCAGCTCTGAATTGATGGCGGCTGGAGACTCCTCAGGGCAGGCCACGGCACTCAGCCCCATAACCTCCCTCCCCAGGTTGGGTCCATGGGGTCTATGGGCTCCCACTCTGGCAGGCCCAGGGCTGCCACAGGGGCTCCAGGAGCTAAGGACACTTTGGGGGCAGTGATCAGCCCTTCCCTGTCTCTCCCCCCGCCCAGCAGATGAGACAGACTACTGGGCAGCATTTCCCAAGAAGCGGGGCTTGACTGTGTGCATGCATGTATAAAGATATGAGGTCAGGGGGATCCTACCCTTCCCTAGGGGACGGTGCCTGGGGTTCAGGCTGGGAGATGTGGGCTCTGAAGCCTGATTTTCATCGGAGGCAGGAACTAGGCCACTGTGTCTCAGAGCATGGGGTGGTGAGGAAGGCAGAAAAGGCGGGGACAGCTCCAGTGACATGCCTACTGGGCCCTGAGCACGTGGCTGAGCCAAGCATTTTCACTCCTCAGGGTTGAGTGTGGATGCTGGAGTCAAAGGGAATTAGACCCACCTCTCCCTCCTTGTGTGACTTCCATGCCTCAGTTTACCTATCTGTAAAACAGGCACAACCAAACCCCAGAACCCTTTGCCACTGTATCGATGGACTCCACAGCGACCCTGTGGGGCAGAGGATTTCACTACTGGGTTTCCAAGGCTGGCCATTTTTACGGAGAAAAGCTGGTCCGTCTCTCCCACAGTGGGGGTGGTAGGGTTACAGGACAGAGTGTGTGAGACAGTCAGCTGAATGTGGGCCTGTGTGCAGCACCGAGGGCATGTCATCCAACAGACCAGGAAATGCAAGCCAAGAGGGAGCTGTCCTGTGTGACCTGGAAGCTCGGAGGGCAGATGGTGTGCCCTTGGTGGGAACCCACCCCACAGCACCAGGGGAGCAACAGGCTCGGGGCCCAGGTACGGGATACTTGCGCTGAGCCAGAAAATAGCATGACTTTATTTGCTACAAGGACAGCCGCTGAGAGGGAGGCTGCTGTCTGTACGTGGAATGGTTTAAACCAAGGGGCTAAAACAGTCAGTGCGTCCCCAGGCTGGGGGCAGGGACAGCCAGGCCGG